TGACAAGGAGTTACTCACTATAATGCTTGCTCTAGAAGAGTGGCAACACTATTTAATAGGTACAGCCCAAACCTTTAAAATCTGGATGGACCATCAGAATCTCTGATATTTCTGACAGCTGCAGAAGCTGAATCAATGATAAGCCTGCTGAGTCACTGAACTGAGCCAGTACCTATACACTCTACACCATAAGACAGAGACAGTGAACAAGAAAGCTGACCTTCTGAGCCACTGGGCTGATCACAATCAAGGAGAACATGACAATAAGGGGGTGATGCTACTATGACCAGAACACTTTCAGGCAATGATCATGCTCACAGAGAAAAAAATTCACAAATAGATCAAAAGCATCACCAGAGACAGCAGAAAGTGGGATCAGTATGTGGCTTTATCTCTAAACTATGAGCATGAAATGACAAAGGAGGAGGAGATGATCTGCTATGATGATCATATCTATATCCTATGGAATCAAGTGCTACATAGTGATATCATAGCCACATACTATGACCACACTATGACAGGACACTCCAGAATTGCAAAGACCAAGGAGTTGGCCTTAAGGGAATACTGGTGGCCCAAAATAGGCCAGAACATTGAATGATACATCAAGGCTTGCAAAATCTGTCAAAGAGAAAAATTATTGACACAGGTATGCACAGCTCCACTACACCCAAATGAGATCCTATCATCACCCTGGACCCACATCTTGGTGGATATGATCACCAGATTGCCTAACTGCAATAAGTATGACACTATCATCATTATTGTTGACCACTTTTCAAAAACTATTATCTCAATCACCTGCTCCACAGACTTGACATCTAAAGGATGGGCAAAAATACTATGCAATAAAGTTTACATGAAGTATGAAATGCTTCAGACAGTGATCTCAGATTGGGGATCACAATTCATCTCCAAGTTTCTAGATGACTTGTATAAACTCTTAAACATCCACAGAAATGCATCTACAGCATACCACCCACAAACAGATGGACAGACAGAATGCATAAATTAGAAAGTTGAAAAATACCTTCAACTATTCATTAACTATCAGCAAGACAACTGAGTCAAATGGCTAGTCTTTGCAGCATTCCAGCACAATAACATGGTCCACTCAACAATAAGAAAATCTCTATTCTTCATAAACTATGAGCAACACTCTAATGTCACTCAAACAACATGAATCCATACCACTATGCCAGCATCTGCTGACTTTGCAACCATGATAAAGAAGATACATGAGAAGACACACATGACACTTGAAAAGGTGGCCACTACAATGAAAACTCAGTATGACAAACACCACTATATAGTGTATACCTATAATATCAATGACAAAGTCTGATTGGACACCACTAACCTTCACCTCTCATGTCCAAAACAGAAACTCACCAACAAATGCATCAGCCTCTTCTCTATCCTCACAAAAGTTGGCATATCAGCCTATCAGCTAGCCCTCTCTGCATACTGAAAGGTTTATGATGTCTTCAATGAGACACTTTTAATGCTTTATATTGCTCCCATCTTCCTGAATCAGATACAACTGCCACCTCTGCCACTGAATCTGATCAACAACAAAGAATATTATGAAATCAATCAAATATTATATCACAAACTATAAAAAGTAAAGATCAAAGGTGGTGGAATGATGACAACAATTGATTATCTCATCAGCTGAAAGGATTACAGCCCTGAATCTAACTAGTGGATAAACAAGAAACAGATGAATGCCATAGAGGCTATATATGACTATGAATTATTCTTGAATTAAGCCATCAAAACAGTAGTCTTAAGGAGGGGGTAATGTTATGATTTTTCCACCTTTTCTATCTCAACTCTCAATTAACCTCTATTTATGCTTAGTCAGAGTGCTTAGACTAGTGCTTAAGACTGTGAGACAGGCTTAGTCAGCACAACAAGCCCAGTTGGTCATTGTCTTTTAATGCAACAGCATTGCCCAATGACACACAACAAACCTTTTGTGTACAGTAGCAATATCCAAGGACAATGGATACAAAGGATACAGAAACATACAATAGGCAGTAGTATGTTTAACTTCACCTGTACAGTATATAAGGAGGCTTACTCTTGCTGGTAATCCCCAGCTTTGAGCTAAAGTTTATTCACACTACTCTACTCTCAAGCCAATCTCTGAAGATCTTGTCACATTATGATCAGCAGGTAGCTCTATCCTTAAATCACAAAAGAGGAATGATGAAAGAAGAAGAGATGATCTGTTATGATAGATAAATATATATCCTATGAGACCAGCAACTCTAAGAGGAGATCATTGCCATCTGTTATGATCATGCTACTATGAGACACTCAGGAATCGCAAAAACTAAGGAGCTGGTCCTATGAGAATATTAGTGGCTAAAAATAAGATAAGATATTAAGAAGTACATGAAGAGATGTGAAACAGGTTAGTAAGGAAAAGCATCCACACAGGCCAGGGTGGCACCCCTACACTCAAATGAAGTCTCTCAGATGCCATGGACCTATATTTCAGTCAATATGATCACTGGTCTCCTGAATTGTAATGGCTATAATGCAATCCTCATTATCATTGACAGGTTCTCAAAAGTGATCATTCTGATAGCCTGTTCAACTGAACTAACATCAGAAGAACTGGCAAAGATCTTATGCAATGAAGTCTATGCCAAGTACAGGATGCTGCAGATGGTCATCTTAGATCAAGACCTACAATTCATCTCTAAATTTCTGGATAATTTGTATAAACTCCTCAGCATCTGACAAAATGCATCAACTGTATATCACCCACAGACTGACAGACAGATGGAACATATCAATCAAGAGGTGGAGAAATATCTTCATCTCTTTATCAACTATCAACAAGATGATTAGATGGAATGGCTAGTCTTTGCTGCCTTCTAACATAATAACCACATACACTCTGCCACAGGCAAGTTGCCATTCTTTGTAAACTATGGCAGACACCCTAATACTGTGCACACCACTCATTCTCACACCTTCATGCCTGCATCCACTGACTTTGCAACTGCCACAATCAAGATCCATGATGAAATCCAAGCTGCTCTTGAAAAGATGGCCACCATAATGAAAAAAATAATATGATAAATATCACACTCCAGCACACATCTATAATGTCCATGACAAAGTATGGCTTGACACCATCAATCTCCATCTGCCATGACCAAAACAGAAACTCTCTGACAAGCAGACTGGTTCTTTCTCTGTTCTTGCAAAGATCAGTCAAGCTGCTTACAAATTACATCTACCAGCTCATTGGAAGATTCATAATATCTTCAATGAAGTACATTTAACACCCTATATCACCCCAGCCTTTTCTAATCAAGAACAGCCACTGTCTCTCTCACTGGAGTTGATCAACAATAAAGAACATTGTAAAATTAATTAAATCTTGGATCATAAACTCCAGAAGATCAAGGTGAAAGATGGCAGGATGACAACAACAGTGAACTACTTAGTCAGTTGGAAGGGTTATAGCCTCAAATCTAACCAGTGGGTAAATGAGAAATGGATGGCTGCAGCAGAGGCTATATGTGACTATAAATTATCTCTAAATTAAGCCATCAGAATAATGGTCTTAAGGAGAGGGTAATGTCATGATTTTCCTTACTTTTACTTCTTTTCTATGAGTTAACTCCTATTTATGCTTAGTCAGAGCACCTAAACCAGTGCTTAGGACTGTGGAACAGGCTGAGTCAGCACAACAGCACTATTGTAGATAGTAACAATGCCTGAGAACAAAGGGCATAAAGGACATAGAAATACACAATAGATAGTCATATATTTATCTCTATGATGTACAGTATATAAGGAGGCTCACTCTTGCTGGTTAAACTCCAGCTTTGAGCTAAATTTTATTCACTCTCATTCTACTCTTGAGCTATTATCTTGGGCCTTGATGCATTTGGTCAACAAAGAACACAATAAAGTGACCTCTAGCACAAAGGTTCAAACATGAAACCATGCTAGTTTATCACATGTTTCTGATCATGTGTGGCTTGAGTCTAACAAATAAGTTCATTCTTTCTGGCTTTACCAGCCTGGAGTCTATCCTGCACAACACTGAGGATTTCCAACAAATGTGCAGGCTGAAAAGAAAACATGAGAAAATATAATGTCTGTAGTTTTGGGACTAACACAAAATCCATGCAGAAACCCAGAGCATCAGAATTAGATCAGATACTCCATACCATCTCAGAGAGTCTTGCATGATCATGAAGGATGGATCTTTGAGATTGCCATCCATAGAAAGTGTTCCAAATATGAGCTGAATAAAAGAGAAGCTGTTATGGAAACCAGCTGCTGGAGATGAGAGCTTGGGCTGAAGCACTGGAGTTCCTACATCTTTTGGAACCTTGTTGAAGTTCACCTGGAGAATCTTCAATACCAAATGTTGGAAATTCTTGGTATTGTGCAGGGTTGACTCCAGGCTGGTAAGGCCAGAAAGGATGAACTTCTTATTCTACAGCTTCTACAGAGCTTGTATTTATACTCTCCAGGCTTATATCTAGAATTTACTACAACTTTCTCTTTCTCTCAAGCTTACTCATCAACTCTCAGCATGATGCCAAATTGCCCTTTCTAGAACTTTCCAGCAAAATCCCAACACCAAACATACCAGGAGAGGAATATCCAACACCCATCTTGTTGAGGATTCAGCCATACACCTGTTGATTGGGTTATTGGTCTGTTCATTCTAAATTTATTTACAAGTTCATACATTTCTGGTCAATTGTTTCCATACTTACTTCCATCCATTTTCCTTTTGTTCACACCTCTTGGACCTAACTCTGGCCCTCATATTGGCTTGCAGAAAATTTTCTTTGAAACCCCTATAAAATTTTTCTGATGTCATCAGAAAATGCTTCCTCAACCCAGATCCTACCATTCAAACCCAATAAAAATGAGAAATTTAACAGAGAAAACTGGAATACATTTGAAATGATAATGATGGCCAAAGGAGGACCACAAGGATTAATCAACTACTGGGAAAATTCTGTAATGGTACCAGGACCCTCTGTACTACCTACTCAAACCACCAGCCTCACCAGCCTCACCCCCAATGAATACGAGGATGCACAAAGGGAGAGCTGTGCCCTTTCTTCCATTATTTGCAATGTGATAGACATCTTCGGCTTTGGACTCCACACTTGCAGTACATCCCATGCAGCCTGGACAAAACTGAAGACACAATGCAGTGCTCATTCGGACCTTGTACAAAACTGTCAGAAGAAATGGGCCTGGGTACAACCTTTTACCATGGTTTGGACTTGTCTTTGTTCTTCCTCGAACAAGGGAGGGCGGTGCATCGTCAGCATCCTTTGTTCGGCTTATTGCCGGGTGGCAGAGATGAATTCTGTTTGAGCGGCACTCTTCCAGTCTATTTGCGGTACTCGCGTGGGTCGTCGATATCGCATTGAGCTTGAAGGTACGTTCGTGTTCATTTCGTCTCGTGTCTCGAGGTGAAGACGCTGGGTGCGGTCTTTGAGTGTGATTTGCGTGACGTAACATCATAGCTAGTTTGACACGCGTCCACTGTTTCAGCGGCTAGTGGCTCGAGTTCGGACACTGGGGAGTGCTTGAGCCTTGCTGCTGTCAGCAATGGGGAGCTCAGCGGTGGTCCATTCAGGAGTCAGCCTGTGCAAAGAGAGGATGCCTGAGGGGTTCGCATTGGAGTATATCGACTAACTACTACATAGACGTAGTTAGCGGCTCCCGCCAGAATATCTGGGACGTCTCAAGACTACGAGACGTTTCTCCTGGCCATCAAAGGTGCAGGAACGGCTTATTATCCTGCTTGATGCTCTGAAGAGCAGAATCCCTTGAGCCAGGCTTGCAGTGGCTAGACGCCGAACCCCACATGGTGGTGGTTCTTGATCAAGGGTCCCCCCGCGACACCTTTATTTTTAGGCTTCACTCACGATACCACATTGCTGACGACCATGGAGCCCTCGACGACATCTTTAGCTGACAGATTTGCCCAGATTCCTCCCAAGACGGCGGGCTTGGAGGAGACATGGGCATTCCTCAAGCCAGGCGTCGACCATATCATGTCCAATCTCGGGGCTGGCCTTACTTTTGCCAACTACACCAACCTGTACACAGTGACATACAATTACTGCACATCGACGAAGATGGTAGGCATTGGTAAGAGCAAAAGCGATGGCGGTGCCGTTTGCGACACCTTTCTTTTTAGGCTTCACTCACGATACCACATTGCTGACGACCATGGAGCCCTCGACGACATCTTTAGCTGACAGATTTGCCCAGATTCCTCCCCAGACGGCGGGCTTGGAGGAGACATGGGCATTCCTCAAGCCAGGCGTCGACCATATCATGTCCAATCTCAAGGCTGGCCTTACTTTTGCCAACTACATCAACCTGTACACAGTGACATACAATTACTGCACGACGAAGGCGCCGGTAGGCATTGGTGACAGCAAGTTCGAACTTGTAGTAGTGCCACACTCATGCTAACAACTATGCAGCGTCCGTCGATCTATTCGGATCCGGGTTGTACCACAAGATGCCCGAATACCTCACAATACATGTCGCCTCTATGAAGCAGGTTCGTCCAACATGTCGTGCCGCGGTGATCGCCCTAATAACCTTATACAGACAGCTATTTTGCTGCAAGACGAGGAGCTCCTACAATACTACGCGTCGGAATGGCATCGTTACACCACTGGGGCTTATTATCTCAACCGTCTGTTCAGCTATCTCAATCGACATTGGATCCAACGACAGCGGATCCAACGACAGCGCGATAAACGGAAGAAAGAGATGTATCCTGTGTATACGGTGAGTGGTGGCGGCCAGCAGTCTTGCCATTACCATTGATATCATCTCTATCAGCTTTCTCTCGTTCAATGGAAATCACAATTCTTCTATTTTATACAAACGGATAATCAGAAGCTGGCCAATGCTGTCCTCCGCCTTATCGAACGTCAAAGGAACGGCGATATGATTGACCAGGGACTTGTGAAGAAGGTGGTGCAATCTTTCGTGACCTTAGGCTTCGACAACACCTATCTCAACAAAGAATGTCTGGAAGTGTACGAGGAGCACTTTGAAGCGCCGTTCATCCTAGCCACCGAACAGTACTACAAGAAGGAGTCAGAATCTTTTCTTGCCGAGAATACAGTTTCCGATTATCTGAAAAAGGCGGAAGAGCGTCTACGGGAGGAGGAGGACAGAGTAGAAAGATATCTACACACCAAGACGCGCAAAAAATTGATTCAGAAGTGTGAAGAAGTGCTCATCCGCCAACATGCAGAGTTGATGTGGGACAGTTTCCAAAATCTCCTGGACTTCGATCAAGACGAAGACCTCCAGCGGATATACTCACTGATGTCGCGTATTTCGGACGGACTAGATCCGCTGAGGAAGCGATTCGAGGTGCACGTCAAGCAAGCAGGTCTATCAGCGATCTCGAGACTTGTGGGAGAGGGCAGTGCCGTAGATGTTGACGCCAAGATATACGTGGATGCATTGCTGGAGGTTCATCAGAAGAACTCGGAAACTATTACTCGATGTTTCCGAGGGGAAGTTGGATTTGCGGCCAGTCTCGACAAGGCGTGCGAAGGGTTTGTCAACCGTAACGCCGCCACCGGATCCTCATCGACCAAGTCGCCCGAACTGCTCGCCAAACACGCAGATATACTTTTGCGGAAGGACAACAAGATGGCTGAAGGAGATCTGGAGAGCACGCTCAACCGTGTGGTCGGTTCCTCGTTCAGCCAATTTTGGATTTGTATTGATTGGGTTCTTTGTAGATGGTTCTTTTCAAGTATCTGGAAGACAAGGACATCTTCCAAACGTTCTATACTACCAAACTTTCCAAGCGACTCATTCAAGGCGTATCTGCTTCTGATGAGAGCGAAGCCAGCATGATATCGAAACTGAAGGAGGCTTGCGGTTTCGAATACACCAACAAGATCCAACGCATGTTCACCGGTTCGTTGTTTTTGTGCTAGTACAAAATGTCTGACTAACCGATGCCCACGATAGACATGAGTCTGAGCAAGGATCTTACGGATTCGTTCAAGGAGCGGATGACCCAGAACCACGATGATATGGACATCACTTTCACCGTCATGGTCCTCGGTACTAACTTCTGGCCTCTCCACCCTCCGACTCACGGCTTTACCATTCCCGTCGAGATCATGCCTACCTATGAACGTTTCACGAAGTACTACCAGAGTAAATACTCCGGTCGTAAATTGACATGGCTTTGGAACTACTCGAAGAACGAACTGCGAACTAATTACCTGAACCAGAAATACATCTTGATGACTAGCGCGTACCAGATGGTCATTCTTGTTCAGTACAACCGAAATGACACGTTATCCTTGGATGAGCTGTCTGCAGTGACCGCGATCAGCAAGGACATCCTGTCCCAGGTATTGGCGTTGTTGGTGAAGGCTAAGATTCTCGTCAATGAGAAGAAGGACCAGTACGATTTGAACCCTGGTTCGTGATAGGTTCCGCTCGTGCCTTCGCTTCATTAACCGATCCTTATTCTCTCTTCAGGCTTCAAGTCAAAGAAGATTCGGGTCAATTTGAATCAGCGAATCAAAGCTGAAGTGAAGGCCGAGTCTTCTGATGTCCTCAAGGCCGTCGACGAAGACAGGAAATACGTTATCCGAGCTGCTATTGTTCGGTTCGTACTGTTCGCACTGTGCGTTCTCCATACGCTGACGGTATTGCAGAATCATGAAAGCCAATAGGACGATGAAAAACCAAGCCCTGATCCAGGAAGTCATTTCCCAGGTCTCTCAGCGTTTCGTTCCCAAGATTCCTGACATCAAAAAGGTGCGGTCCTGTTAGGCATATCGAAAAATACCTGTTCTTACATATATTCTTCCCACCAGGCCGTGGAGACCCTTTTGGAGCAGGAGTACATAGAACGAGTTGACGGACAGAGAGACAGGTTTGCCTATGTTGCATAATTTCTCTGCTCCCTTCCTCACTTGTGTCGCCGCATCATCGCTCATTCCTTGTATCATAATGCATATACGTTAGAAAGTCGGCTTAGTTCCTGTCATATACATTACTCGCTGTAATACACTGGCCTACTACATCTTTACTCCAGAGTCGATTTCTCCCAAAATCATCGTACCGTCTTTACTGCCGGTGAGGACTGGATGGGCGGAGTCGCATAATTGTGATGAGAAACACAAAGCAATGGCACATACTGATCGGTTCCTTGGGGTGGAAATCTTAGGACGCGCAAGCAAGATGGATGTTATTTCGCGAGCTTCGGCAAGAGTGCTCATGTGCTCACGACGAAAGATGAATCCGGAAATGTTGTCACACTAGCGGCTTTCATGACAATCATGCTCACTCGCTCTGCTGAGAGAATTGGCTTCCGCGAGGGGGTCTCGAGGACGTTTGGCGGGCTCTCTGGTTGTGCTTCTATGAGGAGGGTTTGCCGGCGAATTGAGGGTTCGTCTGATGGATCCTGTACCTCCCTTTCTTTGCTGTGGACGAATGAGGGCCGGTATTGGGGTCTCAGCAAACAAGGTATTTTTTTTGGTATCAAAGTTACTTCTGTCATAGATAGAATTACATGCACATGTAACGAAATGCGAATGTTCCTGCTTAAATCTCTTTCTCATGGTAAAGCGCATATTCCAATGTCGATTTCAGTTCCTGCCATTGCCTTGCCTGCCTACAATTCATTAGCACGGTAGCCCATATCCAGCACCGTTTGACAGTCATCTACAAATTGCTTCGCCTGGTATGTATTCCCATGTACTTTGTCACGCACCGGATGCAAAGATTGCATTCCAGTCCTAAGCCACCCGACCACTCTTTAAGCTGTATCTTCGCCAAGATTACCACCGTCTCCGCAGTCAGGATCCGCTCATAATCGTCAGAAACGGCAGACACCGTTGCGGCGAGATGGAATGGTAGTATCGGATCAGTGCCGTAAGTGCACATTGAAGATATGACCTTTCGATTGAATGGGATTGACATGCAGTGGTGGTGGAGAACTGGCAACCGACGGAGTATGCGTAACTTCAGATTTCCAGTACAACTTGAAACGGTTTGGAGCAAGCTTTCCAATGTCCTGCCACAGTGACCGACACGCATTGTACACTAAGCTGTCCTCGGCGGCCGCGAGTCTGGAGACGCCGCTTGCTTTGTTCAGACATGCGATCCGTGCGAAGATAGCGTTCCCAGTAACCTCGTAGTTCCAAGAGTGTAGCATTGGTACGGAACATTAAGAAGGCGCCACACGTAGACTGATTCCATTCATCTGACGGCTTGGCTAGGTCTGCGAGTTTTTGACACTGATCCTATAGGGGGGTTGAGAGAAGTTTTATCAAGGTAAAAATCGTAGAAGATTTCCCATATGTTGCTAGCATGAGTTCCCGCTTCATCATCTGCGAGCAACGTCAAGAGCAAGACATTTCGAGTTACACACCAAAGTGAGTTTCAAACCGGGTTGAATACGCCACACTTCGCGCTTACCGAGTACAGCAGGCTCAATATTGCAGCAAGTTGCATCAATTTTGCAACGAGCTATATTGAACAAATCAGTCATTCATAACTTCGTTTTAAGCTCATTCTCAAGACACATCATGGCGGAGAACACGCTCGCTACACGTGCCTGTGAAGAGCCGGAAGAGAGTCACACTGAACTTGCATCGCAATGAATTTGAGAACATCAGCATTCAAGGTTTGGGAGATGCGAACGCCTGTAGGCATAATTCGTTAGTCAATGATCCGCCACCTGGCTCCTCAAGATAAGCTATTTTGCCCTTGACATACGTCGTTCGGGTGCGATATTTTCATGTTCCCCGGGGACCCCCCTCACGGGAAGACACGTACTGCGGCGGCGTTCTCCCCCGAGGGTATGAACCACGACTCGATGATGTGACCAAACTTTTTTTCGATACATAAGCAGAGCAGCACTCACCATTTCTACCACATCATTCACTTCAAAACGTCGCATTTTCCTTTCTCTGCATGGCAAGGATCATCTCTTGATGATGTGTACGTCTGGATATGCCACTGATGGACACGCTTCTGAGATAGTTGCTGTCATTTAAGTCTTGGAGTTCGGCCGGTCACGGCAGTTTTGCTCCTTGAGGCGGGGACTCCATTAAAAACACTCCTCCCTACCTATGATAGACGTGAAAGCCGTGACCTTGCTGCAGGTAGATAGAACTTGCCGGTGCAATTACAAGGCAGTTGGAGCCAGATACTGGACGAAGGGGAAAGAGTGACATGACAGTGGCAAATGCCAGATTAGGCTTCTTCCCTTCCGCGACGTCCGAAGAACTATATTGGCGCGTCAATTGTCATTTCTAGTTTTTTTTTTCTTAAAGTCAACGATGTACGGATCTGTCCTTCAACCACCACTGTGTCCTTCACAATGTCGACCATTCCAACCTCATTTCTCCATTCTCTGCCGCCGGCACCCCATGTCGACGTCTCGACGATCAAGGGCAATATCTCGAACGAGGAAAAACAACTTGGCGCCAATATTTTCTCCTATTTTGTGAATAGTCGGGAGGAATCCTATGGTGCTGAGGTCGGTAGACGCTTGCGCCTGGTCGAAATGAACATTTGGGGCCGGGATGCTAGCGGGACTGCGGCGCAAGGACAGACAATCTTTGAGATCGATGTCGAAAAAGGCGAGTCGTTCCTGCGAGGATAAACGGTCCGGTTACTCATTTACTTTTCTTTTCTTCCTAGACATGTGTAATGTTTTTGGAACCTTGCACGGGGCATGTGCCGCATATATCGTCGACCCGTACGTCCATTCGTACCCTCATATCTGGATTGGTATGCCTATGGGAAATACAAAGAAGAACCTAATAGGTATTACTTTTCCCGCCTGTCTTTTTGAGGCGTGGTCCAGAAAATGTCACGAAAAAAAACGCGTTGCTCTGTAATACGACGATTAAAGACGGCGGGAAAGGGCAGGACTTGTTAGAATTCTTTTTTTGCGCATCTGAATACCTACCGGTCCTGCAGGGGCTCGGGAATCTTACGGAAGGAAGACGCGACGGGGACTGGTCTTGTTTTATGAGATAACGCCAGTCCCGTTCAGGTCGCGCTTTCGCCGTATAAATCTACCGGCCCTGCAGCGTTACACCGTACATCAGTTTGCATCGTCTCACCGACCTTTTCCTAGGTGCTCTGTGTCCAGTTTGGTAGTTCTGGGCGCTGCCATCGGAGCTGATGAAACAGGCGTCTCGCAATCTCTCAACGTTATCTGGCACCAGCCGGCAAAAATGTGTGTGTCATTTTCTCCGAGTTGGAACCGGTTTCTTTTGTAGGAGAACATGACCCTTGAGGTCCACTCCTTTTCCCTTACAACGCTTTTCCGGTCCGTGATTAAATGTCCCTTTGGACCGGGAAAGCTGTTGAGAAAACACTTAACCTTTTTGAGGTCTCGTCTTTTAGGCTCGGAAACTCGTCTTCTCCCGTTCCTCGTGGTTTCCGATACTGATATTTTCGTCTAGGGGAACAACACTCAGGGTGATCATGGATCCATCGGGCCTCCTGCTTGAGTCGAGTATTCCTTGCGTCGAGCTCCTCCTGGGCTCGATAGTAACTTCGGAGGTTGAGGTCAATACCTCGGTGAATTCGCCGGGTGTGTTCGTCCATGCCACCTGTGGTGGCAAGGTCTCGGATGGGGGTAACTGGGCCCTCAGCCTGTTGAGGGAGGGCATGGGGCAGGGTGACTGGTAGGTTGTCTGCCAGTCAGGTGTGGATGCAAGAGGTGAGGGGGCTGACTGGAGCCGTCTCTCGGACATAGGCAGGATAGAAGGGGCTGGGCTGGATGGCCTCGTCATTGGAGTAGCTGGGGTCACTCCAGCTGAGCTCCTGTCCCAGTCTCTGTTGTCATCGACTGCGGGCCTCCAGTCGATTTTGGAGCCTTTGTTCTTGGGAGGTGGCTCATTGGTGAGTTGCAGCATCTCATACTGCCTGTAGGGCCTGTTTGGTGAATTGGGCAGTGTGAGTGAGTAGGAGTCTTCCATTTTAGGGGGGAGAGTAGAGGGGAGAGGGAGTTCACTCCTTGCCTGATACTTGTCATAGTATTGTTTTGCAGAGGACTTTACTGTTATCTCTGACAGTGATGTTAGAGGCTTCAGAATCAGAGCCATCAGAAGGGAACCTACCTCTTCTGGGAAGGGGAGCTTTCTGGGGTTTAGTGGGATTGTGGTTATAGGGTTGGAGAGTCACTGTCATTATCAATGATGATGATGGGGCTGTTGGACAGATGTACTCCTGAGAGGCTTGCTGACTGGCTGCATTCTGCCAGGCCTGATTGTTGGTTGTCAGGGTCTTCAATGGAAATCTCAACCAGTGGTGCTTCTTGGCCATACTCTCTTTGGAGGATGTTTTCTCCTTTGGTGCTGATGTTTATGGTACTGACCTCTGTATTGTCAGCAGAAATTGAAATGTTCTGCTGATCTGAGATGTAAGTCTCTTTGGCCCAGCAGAGAAGATGGACTGTGAGTCTGAATATTTTGAACTCATATCTGCTGATAGCTCTGTAGTGGCAATGGGAGCAAGGGTGGATCTGACGGAGTTGAGTGTTCTGATAGTAGGCATTCTAACAATCTAGTAACCAATGGTGCCAGTCATATATTTTCTACCTGTAAATGTAGGAGGTATAGAGAAAAAGTAGGATTGCCACAAAGACAGAGATGAAAACTGATAGCAAAGTAAAGGATAGATTCTATGCAATACTCTCAGTGTTAGCTGAGAGAAAGGCAGGTCAAGCTTTGAGATAATTGTTAGACTTAAGCATCACATAAGCAGAGTCTATGATAAACCAATGCTGTATTATATTAATACAGTCACATTAGAGTCCACTTCAAGTGATCAACTGCTGTGAGAGATAAGGCTGTTTGCAAGTAGGCTTAAGAGTTGATAGTATGAATAAACTTTAGCTTGAAGCTGAGTCTACTACAATGAGAGCTACACTACTTATATACATTTCTGAATGCAATGAATATAGTTCTACTTATTATGTCTGTGGTCTGAAACTAAAGAGTGTGTGGTATATGCATGAAACAATTAAATATTATTTGTCATCAAGATGTTAGTTGTGAGCCATAATACAATAGTATGAGTTGTCTGGTATAGTTATAGTTACTAGTCTGACTGGATAGATAGGAAGTAAGTGCCTGTGATTAAATAGACACTTGATAAGATAAGATGAGCAAAAAAATCATAACACTTAGACTGCAAGGTGTACTCACTTGAAGGAGCAGAGTAAGAGGAACTGGACAAGTTTCTCAATGAAAACTTATCCAGTGGAAGAATCCAGGTATTAAAATCCCCAATAGCCTCTCTGTTTTTTTTTGTCAAAAAGAAGGATAGGAAATTACAACCAGCATAGGACTATCAGAAGCTGAATGATTTAACTATCAAGAATAACTACCCACTTCTGCTAATTTCAGAACTCATAGACAAGTTATCAGAAGCAAGATACTTCACCAAACTGAACATGTGGTAGAGATACAACAATATCAGGATCAAAGAAGGAGATGAGTGAAAAGTGGCATTTCAAATCAATTAAAGGCTGTTTGAACTACTGGTGATGTTCTTTAGACTCACTAACTCACCTGTGATCTTTCAAACTATGATAAACAATGCCTTCTAAGATTTTATCACTAAAAAGAAGATCACTATTTATCTGGATGATATAATGATCTTCTTAAAGACTCCAGGAATATCAAGAGACTATATAGCAGATACTACAAATTCTATGAGAAAATAAATTGTATCTAAAACCAGAAAAAATGTGAGTTTAAGGCCTTAGAGATGGAATACCTCAGGCTTATCATCACCAAAGAAAAGCTGTGAATAAACCCAATAAAGACAGCAGGCATACAGGAATAGCCCACTCCAATCAACAAGAAAGAGTTGCAATCTTTTTTAGGATTTGCAAACTTTACTAATGCTTTATTAAGAGCTACAGTAAGATGACCCTACTCTTGACTAAACTCACTGGAAAAACAGAATGAAGATAGGAGAATGCATAGAATCAGGCATTTCAGAAAGTTAAATGCTGAATCTGCTCTGATTCTATCCTGGCTATCTCTATTAATGATAGAAAGTTTAAAGTAGAGGCAGACACATTGAAAGGAGCTCTTGAGGCTATTCTCAGCCAAAAACAGAATGGGCAGTGAAAGCCCATTGCATATTTCTTCAAAGCACTCTCTACTACTGAATATAACTATAAAGTATATGACAAAGAGTTGCTAGCAATCATAACTGCACTAGATGAATGGTGCAACTACCTGATGGGCACAAAATACAACTTTGAAATCTGGACAGACTGTCAAAACCTCTAGTACTTCAAGAAACCACAGAAACCAAACTGAAGGCAAGCATGTTAGATAACAGAGTTGGCCAAGTACCACTTCAGCCTCCACCACAAACCTGGCACCACTAACAAGAAGGCAGACTTACTTAGCTGATAGGCAGATCATGATCAAGGAGGAAATGACAATGAAGAAGTTATAATACTCAAATCAGAGTTGTTCTATGTGAATGCTATGATTTTCTCAATAGCCCTCAAAATTCTGAAAAAAGTCCAACAGAGGACACTATACAGCTAGCCCTCAACAATGAGGTGGAAGGATGGACTCTTGAAGAAGAGGTATTCTATTTCTATGACCAATTATATATTTCTGCCAACAAGAAGCTACAAGAGAAAATTATTATGACATGCTATTATTATCCAACTGCAGAGCATCTAGAAATCATAAAGACTCAGAAACTGGTCACCTGTGATTACTGGTGGCCTAACCTTAAACAATTGATAGAGGCATATGTTAAGAGATGCAAGGCATGCTAAAAAATGAAACCAAACACCCAAAAATAGGCAGCACTGTTACACTCTAATGAAATCCCTTCAGACAAATAGAAGATGATTTTCATAGATATGATTAGACAACTCCCTGAGTCCAAGAGACACAATGCCATCCTAGTAATAGTGAACCAATTCTCCAAAGAACATATTCTGATTGCAACTAATATAGATCTAAATATAGAAGAATGAGTATGCTTTTTCCAAGATCACATATATGCACACCATAGAATTCCAAACAAGATTATCTTGGATCATAGCCTGCAGTTTATCTTCCAATTCATAAAAGAACTGTATAAATTGCTGAGAATCACTAAAAACTCATCTATGATATATGACTCTCAAATGAAGAGGCAAACAGAGAGAGTTAACCAGGAGATTGAGAAATATCTGAGGATATTCATCAATCACAAATAGGATGACTGGGCAGAATAGTTGTCTTTAGCAGAATTTGCCTACAACAACTGAGAAAACTCAGCCACAGACTTTAGTTTATTTTTTGCAAACACAGGCACACACTCTAGTATCAGGATAAACCTCTCACAAAAGGACAGTCAAATACCCCAAGTGAAGGACTTTGTCATAGATATAAAGAAGATTCATGATGAAGCAGAATGAGTGCTTAACAAAGCCACTGATACAATAGAGAAATAGTATAATAAAAAGAAGTCACCAGCAAAAAAGTACAAACTGAGCAAGATGAGAAAATCCATTATCAAAAAAAATGGTTTTTGATCCATTTCAAAAGATACAGCAATGAAGAAAACTGTTGGTATGCTGAAAAAGACCTCTCCCATGCTAAGAAGCTCATAGCAAAGTACCATGCTGCTTAGAATTTGCTTGTGACAGTCAACTTCACTTCACCAGAGTGACTGATGTTCAATAAAACCAATTATATCTAAACCTGGAAGCTACTATTCAATCTGGAGTGACAGCTATTTGAAAGCAAAAAGTTGTACATATAAAAGGATGAGGGTGAAATCAAAGCAGACATCTTTATGGAACAGAAGTATTTCCTGGACAGAATCCAGGATATCTCAACTGAGATCAAGGGGAAGAATAAGACTTGTACCCTGTTCTTCAGGCTTCTTTAAGTAATCAGAGATGATTGCCTTAAAGAGAGGGTAATATCATGATTTTTACCTCTAAATTATGATCTACTAATGCTTAGTAAGCTGACACTTACAAAACTCTGATTAAATCTGACTACAGTTCAGCCTTGGCCATAGAGAAAATCTTGCAGTAACTATGCAGAACTATAGATGATAATGCTATAATGATACAATAGCTATGCCTTATTCATCAGCACACAATAGACCAGTGGGAATGACATGCCAACAGTCATTATCCTATGCTCTCTTTATAATAGATGCTGTGACATATGAGAATCTCATTATAACAATAGCACTATAGAACAACAATGATGCTCAAAGATATGGGTACCATTATTGTCACCAAAGAATAAATAGAGAGTATAGAAATCAGATAATAGTCACCTATAGAGTGAAGGGCTTTTTGAACAAGTATTTAAGACAGTAGAAAACACCAATGTACCTTAGTCTCAAGCTAAGGTTTAATACCCCTACTGAACTCCCTGACTATCTGATGCAATTACTCTTGTCAAATCTGACAGACATAATCTACTAGCTATCTGAAATCATACCCCTCATTATTATTGTCTATCTTATTATCCTTATTATTCTTCAATATTAACAATAATATCCAGAAGCAGTGATACACCCTCTGCATGTTCAGATGTGTAATTTTGTGAATGATGATGATACATTGACTGTACCTCAGTCTACTATACATGCAATAAAAATATGGCTAGAGCACAGTGAAATGGGACTTGTATAACAACTGGCTTGAGTGATAATTAGTGAAGAGCATGGCCTAGCAGTAGGATAATACCAGGGGGGATCATTCTGTGCATGAGGTCCTAGCACTTGACACTAAATACACTAATACAAGTATAAAAAGACTCACTAAAATAAAGAGCATACAATTAAAATACAATCAAAGCTTTATGCACA